TCTCTCACTCACTCACTCACTCTCTCTCTCTCTCTCTCTCTCTCTCACTCTCCCTCTCTCTCTCAGTTTCTCCCTCTCCCTCATTCTCTCACTCAATCACTCTCTCTCACTCTCTCATCCTCACTCTCTCTCTCTCCCCCTCTCTCTCTCACACTATCTCTCCCTCTCTCTCTCCCTCTCACTCTCTCCCTCTCTCTTCACTCTCTTCACTCTCTCTCTCTCCCTTTCACTCTCTCCCTCCCTACCTCCCTTACTCTCTCACTCACTCTCTCACTCAATCACTCTCTCATCACCACTCACTCTCTCTCTCTCTCACTCTCTCTCTCACTCTCTCTCACACTCTCTCTCTCACTCACTCTCTCTCTCCCTCTCCCTCTCTCTCCCTCTCACTCCCTCACTCTCTCCCTCTCTCTCCCTCTCACTCACTCCCTCCCTCTCCCTCCCTCTCCCTCTCACCCCCTCTCACTCACTCCCTCCCTCACTCTCTCCCTCCCTACCTCCCTTACTCTCTCACTCACTCTCTCACTCAATCACTCTCTCTCACTTTCTCATCCTCACTCACTCTGTCCCTCTCACTCACTCTCCTTCCCTCCCTCACTCACTCCCTCCCTCCCTCACTCACTCACTCTCTCCCTCTCTCTGCTACAACAGGAACCCACGAGGTGGAAGAAAACTGTGCAGAAGCCGGCGGCCCCCTTTCCTCTTTCATTGGCTGTACAAAGAACCGCGGCCACCCCCAGTTCATCCCTGTCTACGAGTTCAGTGCGGACCACGTGAGACCCTACATGCCTGGTGAACAACAGAAGGGTGTGGACAGGATGGTGGAGATTGTCAAGGTTTTGGCAGAGTTTGTGGTCAGGATCAGCGCGCCGGTCGTTAGTGACCAGCGGCCAGACACCTGGGAAGATGGCCGTCCTTACCCATTTGTCGATAGAAGAGGTCGACGCACTAACAAGGTCGGCAGCGGTTATGTGACATGCGTGACCAGGTTGTGTGGTAAATCTGTTGTTGGAATCTGTAGACGTGGGAGCTGTCCACGGGGGACAGCTGAGGAGAACGAGTGTTGGAAGATTCAAGTGGCCACTGCACGTCACGTGGTTTATGACGACAGTGAGGCCAGGGAATGTGAGCTTGTGTTGTTTGACGATCGTCCGGACGGAAGTGACAGTGTGACCCTGACGGGGGGCTGGAGTGTAGAGTCTGCCGACACAGAGAAGGACATGTGTGTACTGGAGTTGTACACTCATGACAAAGTACTGGGTCGGAGGCTCGAGAATATCTGGAGCAGGCGACGGGCGGCACTGTGGACGTTTTCGAAAAGGGAGTTCTATCTGTGGTGGACTGAAATGTTCCGACAGTTGTTGCAGGATGACAGGCTCTCGCAGTTGTTGCAGGATGACAGGTTCTCACAGTTGTTGCAGGATGACAGGCCTCTCACAGTTGTTGCAGGATGACAGGCTCTCACAGTTGTTGCAGGATGACAGGCTCTCGCAGTTGTTGCAGGATGACAGGTTCTCACAGTTGTTGCAGGATGACAGGATCCCACTGTTGTTGTTCAATAACACGTTCTCACGGTACATATCCCATAGACTCTCACTATTGCTATATTACACTGTGTGTCATGACGACTCAGACCTGACTGTCGTCATCTCACACCCACACGGGAGGATGAAGTACATAACTTTGGGACAGGTGGACTCTGAACGTCCGTCTGGCAGACAAGATAACTGTTTCACCTACACCGCCGCCACTTGCCCGGGAAGCAGTGGCGGCTTGGTCATACCTCTGCGTTTTTGGCTCCTGTCTGCACGTGTCACAACTCACTGCTTTTCACTGTCTGTGAATTGTGGCCTTAGTGGTGGGGAACATTCTTTTTGTTAGTGATGTTTGAACAAACACATACTTCTGAGTGTACGGGCGCACACACACACATACACACACACATACACACACACACATACACACACACACATACACACATACAAACACACGCATGCACAAACACACACACGAACACACACACACATACACACACACACATACACACATACAAACACACGCATGCACAAACACACATACACACACACACATACACACATACAAACACACGCATGCACAAACACACACACGAACACACACATACACACACGCAAACACACACACACACACACACACATACATACACACACACACGCACGCGCGCACATAAATACAGAACACACGCATGCACACATACGCACATATTCATGCACATACGCACACACAAACACACACATACAAACGCACAAACACACGAACACAGAAGGTCGCCGCTTGATTCCTGGTCGAGTGGTCAGATTGTGTGTCCTTACAGTTTGAGATATGGGCGGGTGGTTGGAGGGTGTCACTGGTAGGTCCTACTTCTTTTCTTTCCCTCTGTTGTTTCTGTCTGTGTGGGTGGTTGGAGGGTGTCACTGGTAGGTCCCACTTCTTTTCTTTCCCTCTGTTGTTTCTGTCTGTGTGGGTGGTTGGAGGCTGTCACTGGTAGGTCCTACTTCTTTTCTTTCCCTCTGTTGTTTCTATC